AGAATCACAAAACCAATTTATACACTAGGCTCTTTCCTCCTCGTTTTCAGGTTCAGCGAACTCCACAATTACGTTCAAAAAATTCCAGGGAAAAAATATGTTTTCTAGAATTGCAATACAAACCACTTTTAGCTAAGGGTCACATTAGAATTCCTCACCGAACCGGAGATAAAAAAGAAAATAACAGAATCACAAAACCAATTTATACACTAGGCTCTTTTCTCCTCGTTTTTCAGGTTCAGCGAACTCCACAATTAAGGCCTTTGTGATCCGTTGCATCCCTTTCGAGTCCCCTCGCAATTTCAAGGTGTAGAAGCCTCGAAATTGAGGCTCTCCCTCTCTTTTTCTAGCCTTTTTCATTTTGGCTCCCAAAGGCCATTTATTTTTTCAGATTACCCGTGCTTGGGCACTTGTTTAGGTGGCACCTACGAGTCCTTTTGCACCCTCCTTGCTTGGTTCATGGCCCTTAGGCTTTTCTAATGTCGTATTCAGGTGGCCTCCTAGGCCCCATGCTAGGACCTCTTGTGCCGGCACCAAGGCGCTATTTCCCTTGGTGTCGTTGGTCCCCCTTCTTCCTGTGGTACTAGCATCTGGGTATTATTTTTTTTGGAGGTCCTCCTTCAAGAAGGAGGGCCGCCTTTTTTAATTTCCTGCAGCTCTTTGCAACTTCATGATCCATTCCCCAATTTAAGGGTCTGGCAGTCCTGGGTCCCATCTTGGGTCCTTGGTATCGACGATCCCGTCTTAGTCCTTCAGCTAACATTTTCCCTCTCTATTGCCTCCTCAGTCCAGATTCCCCTGTTGTGCACATTTTAACCATAAATCACAACTCAAGGGTCGGGACTTGATCCGGGAACCAAAGGTCCCAACACCGGGCACCCGACTCATGCCCGGGTACCGATCCGGGTGCCCAGCCCGGCATGACCCCCAGGCAGGGTTCCGAGCAGCCCCAACGCAGGAAAAAAAAAAACCAAAAAATTCTAGGGAAAAAAAAAATGTTGTGTAGAATTGCAATACAAACGACTTTTCGTTGAGGGTCACATTAGAATTTTTCATCAAATCAGAGATAAAAAAGAAAATAACAGAATCACAAAACCAATTTAATACCCCCCCTCCACCCCACCCCCCTTGAAAGCCTACTTCCAAAAAAAAAAATGAGTTTGGATTTGGGGTCCTCTGGGAGAGGACAGAAAACCACAAAGAAGAAACATAAAAGTTTTTTTTCCTTTTTTTTAGCACGCCTGGGTACCCCGGGCGTCAGCCCTTCCTAGAGAAAAACTTCATTCTCAATTTTGTCTTTTTTATTGAGATTTGTCTTTCTTATTCAGATTTGTCTTTTTTATTCAGATAAAAGACGAAGAGTGTTACCTGCCTATCCGCTGCACCGCAAATCCGTTCACTTTGTGAGAGCCAATTACGATCTTCAAATCCTGCCAGGCATGGTGACGATGGGTCATTCCACTTTCAGATGCAAGCAAGAGATTGATTCAACGACAACCAATTTAGAAAAAGATCATTCGACACATTTCCCACCAGATGATTCTCCTCACCAGTAGACTGGAGCTGTTTGTTTTTTATCAACAAAAAAAAAAATGAAGAGCATTCCACACACAATAACCTCGTGGAGCAAGAGAGAAAGGAAAAGAGAAACAGAAAAAGAAAAGGAACAAAATTGACTGAATCACCGATGGAGGGACGCGAGTCATCCATCATCCCCTTTCTTCATGGGTTTTTCCTTTTTTGGTGAAAAAAGAAGGTAAAACCCCCAGCCGAACAGGAGTTTTTTTTTCCAAAAATGCAGAGAGGGAAACATAGGAACAATGAGAGGGTCAAAAAAGACCAAGGGAAGGAAAAATGAAAGTTTGAGAAACTTTAGACGCTTCCTAAGGATCAGACCGCCGGCGCTGTGCGTGACCTGGAAAAGGCATTGCTTGGAAAGAACAAACAAAGGGCAGCAGCCACTCCCCCCAAGCCTGGGAGGACTTCCTCTCCCTGCTCGAGGCGAAGTTCTGGCTCGACCGGGGAAGAGTGAGAAAAGACAGATCAAAACCCGGACAAAGCAATGGAGATCTGCAACAACTTCATCCAGCATTATCTGGGGGTGGGCAGGGTGGGCAGGGTGGGCAGACTGGAAGGGGGGAGGATCCGGTCCCACTGGCCACACTCCCGGATAATACAGGAGGACATGGATGAGGTGCAGCAACAGATCTCCGAGCTCAGCCCGGAGGAAGAAGACGCTGGCTAGCTTCATACTAGCACGGTTTCTCAGGCCATGGCGACCACCACCGGTCTTCGCTCCAGGTGCTGACAAGCAGCACTTTGGTAACCCCTGAGACACCCCGCTGCCGCAGCACGGCAGCCTGAGTTGAGGCCGTCTGACTGCGCCTTGGATCCTGCATGGGACGGGGGATATCCTCCCTGAGCTATCTCTGGGATTCCGGCACTGTGCTGGGGCGGGCCAACCCTCGAAGAGCACACGTGGGGCCAACGGGCTCACAGGATTGGGATTTGCGGGGGCTTATTGGAAGTATAGGGAACACGGAGGAAGATCTAAGGAGGTAGCAGGCCACAGTGCTCCACGACTTGCAACCGTATCAGGCAGCAGACAGCTGAGAGGAGCTCAATACTCTAGCTGACAATGTACATCAGGCGGCTAGGTGGCCGAGAGGAGCCAGTACGGAATAGCCTTTATGCCCTTCAGGCTAGCTTAGGCAGGGGTGAGGGGTGGTAAATCCTTCCTGCGGGAAGTAATCAATGACTTCCACTCGTCGTTCCCAGCCACAATGGGGAGGAGCGTTGTTGATACTAGTGAATACTTCACCAAGTATGGGCAGAACCAAAGATCAACAAATATAGGGTGAGCATGTATGCAGCGGAAGTCTGAGAAATGGACTGACTCACATAGACTGAACTCATCCAGATATCACTCAACACACAAGCAATCGTGAGATGGTGGGGTCTGAAGCCAATCATAGACGATGCTCAGGCCCCGTACAACCATACACAGATGAAAGGTGGGAGGAGAGACGATGGAGGTGGGAGGTATAGGCAGCGCCAGATGTCACCGAGATAGAATCCAGTAGGCCACCGATATGGTAGTCCAAAATGTCACCGAACAAAGATCAGAATGTCGTGGACAATAAGTCACCAATGTCGGGGTACAGAGTCCTAATGTAACCGGTGCCCAATCTGTGATGCTGCCGAGTATCAATCCCACACATCTCCTAGGTCTCGAATCCGGTAAGTATCACAGCCTCCTACCACCGAAGTCCAAACACTGATCTATGTCCAACTCGTATCAAAGTCTCCAGCCTGACGAGAAGAAGAAGCAGAAGAAGAAGGAGAAGAAGTCTGAAGAAGAAGAAGAAGAAGAAGAAGAAAAAGAAGAAGAAAAAGGAAGGAGAAGAAGATGGCAGAGCATGGACGGAGATGGCGAGTAGCGCCAGGCCCTACCTGATGGGACAAGGTGGCGCCTTGGCTGCTGCAGAAGACGGCTGAGCTGCTGGGAGCTATGGCGCTCGTAGCTGCTGGTCAGGTAAGTCCCCCCTCCTCGCTCTCCCGTTGTTGCATACCGTAAAGGTGCAGACCAGACCAAGAACTAACCTTTCTCGCCAGATACAAGATAGCACAACGGAAGGCTTAGATACCAATGATCCGATCAATCAAGCTGCCATGCAGACCAAACATGCATCATCATCATTCCATGGTGTGAAGGGGGCTGACGCTCACATGG